AAGGGGTGGTTCTTTTCAACACTTTGCCACGGCGTTGAATGACCCATCCAGATGTTTCTTAGCCCAATAAAACATTTGTTAGATAAAATGCCTCGTCTCAAGTTAATTTGGTTCTCTAAACTTGTGTAAACGAATAAACAAAGGCTGGTGCCTAACATAAGGATGATGGGAACTGTAGTTCAGCAAGATCCAAGGACCTGTGGTCAGAAACACTGTACAAAGAGGACAATACGGTCAGTCTGTATTGGGCAGCACGCTAAGCTAAAAAGCTTAATTAATTATTGCACCCCTGCCTCTTCACGTGGTGGCACACACAACCTGTATGGTTGTGGCATTTCAGAAAAGTGTTTACCATCTTGCCATTTCTTTTCCTGCAGGTGAAGATTTTGAGCAGCCCTCTATTACCTACTATGCCTACAGCCTTGCTTTTTTTTTTTTTTTAATGATTTCCTAGTTGTTTTGCACACAGACCCCAGGCTGATGCCTGGGGAGTTGAATAAACAAATAAACAATAAATATACAACAAACAAACAAATATATAATAAACGAATAATAAACAACTATCCTTTCCATGCAGTTTGGGCCCCAAAACCCATGCTTGTTGACTGGCTTGCTAACCTTCATTTGGAGCTTAATCTATTGGGTGAAAACCACCTCTTTCTCTACCATCGACCATCATCAGAAGATGGTCCCACTTAGGGGAATTCTGTTTGGATTTAGCCGCGGCACTTTTGAACGGCGTCTAGATCTCCATTGGACCTTGGCTTTGTAGAATTTAATATCTCTTCCCATGATAATTATAACTTCCCATAATAACTGGAAAATCAGAGCTAAACATTTTAGCAGGGGGATCTCGAGAGAACAGGATGAACGTTGTGCCTGTATTTGCTCTCTCTCAGAAGAGGAAGCCTGTTAAATTGAAGCAAGACAAATACAGAATTGTTTATGGAAAACCAGCCATTATGCAGTGTTTCTTAACCTTGGCCACTTTAAGATGTGTGGACTTCAACTCCCAGAATTCCCCAGCCAGCCTTGCTGGCTGGAGAATTCTGGGAGTTGAAGTCCACACATCTTAAAGTGGCCAAGGTTGAGAAACACTGAGTTACAGGGTAAATCCATCTCAATTGCACGTGTATACCTTGGAGTGGATTTTCAGCAAGAAAGACAAGCCCATTTCTTCTACCTCTGGATCTGCTCCACTCGACAAATCACAACTGCGGTACATTCCCATTTACTTCCGCCACTCCGACCCCGCAAATGGAAGACTCTGAAACCTGCCCTTGACAACCTGAAGTCGTGGCTGCGTGGAACTCGCGAAACGAGGAGCGCCGCGCCATTTCAGTGCGGATGGGAGAGAGCGGTTACGGTGGCCGGGGCGGCTCAGTGGCTCCCAGAAGGCGAAGCTGGGCTGGCTCGCCAGGCCTCGAGGATGGCGGCTCACCTGAAGAAGCGGGTCTACGAGGAGTTCAGCAAAGTGGTGGTCCAGGTAGCCGGCGAGGCTCTGGAGGAGGGAAGGAGATGCCAGGGTCGGAGGGAGTTCATGGAAGCAGCCTGCGGCGCGGGGGGAGTGGGTAGGTGGGTGGGAAGGAACGCTGGCTGGCTTCACACGACACGCTGAACCCGGGTTATCGAAAGAGACGGGCGGCATTCACACAGCTTTTCACTTTGCGGCGCGTTGCATGGTTCAGGCACGCCACGTGCCAAGGGAATGGGTGGGTTCTCACGTTACACTTGACCTGAGTTAAAAAGGACCGTGTGGATGTTGGCTTATATATTTTCGTGTGTATTTCATATTCTTTTTTTCCCACATGTATTTCTTTTGTATATTTTCATAAACTTTTCCTTTTCTTTATATACATATACTTTTTCTTTTCTATTTTTCCACATATTTTCTTTTACATATTTTCATATACTTTTCCTTTTCTTTGATATAGGTTCATATACTTTTTCTTTTCTATTTTTCCACATATTTTTCATTTATAAATTTTCATATACTTTTCCTTTCTTATATATGTTCATATACTTTTTTCTTTTGTATTTTTCCATGTTTTCCTTTTCTATTTTTTCTTATTTATTTTTCATATAATTAAAAAAATCATGTTTTTGTTATATATTTTTTCTTTTATATTTTTGCATTCTTTTTCCTCTTTTATATATGAATAGCAACCTTCATTTCCTTTTTAGTTTATTTTTAAAAAGAATTCATCGCAATTTATAATTTTGTAATTTTACTGCATGATCTACCTTGTATTTACTTGTTATTCTGTATATTAGTATTCTGCGTAGGGTTTAAGAGGGATTTGGGGGATGAAAGAATATTCAGGTATTGTTAACCCCTTATCAGTATGGAAAATCCATAACTTCATCACACTTGTAAACAACGTGTCATTTACCTATTCTGTTTTTATACTTTTGTTTCTGCTTTTTCTTTCTTCTTGTTATGTACATATTTTCTTTTTATCTGTTCAGTTAATCTTTTTTTTTTAAGGAAAAAAATACACTGTATAATGATGTGAAGTGACAGGTTGGTTCACTCAAAGTGGGGTGGGTGGTGGGTGGCTCTCCATGAGAGGAGGGAGGGCACCCTGAGCTCCTGGATGATGGACAGAAATGGATTAATAAATACATACCAAATTTTAAGAAGCACACTGAACACAAACTCTGTGACCCCATTGGAGCCAAGTCCCTCGACACACAGGGCAAACTGAGCCCTGGGCGTCATGCAATCTGGGCTGGGTTAATGGGGCAAACCTTGGCTAAATGAACCTGTGTCCTTTGATATTTTATTCACTCAACTGGGTTTACAAACTGTTGCATTTGCAAATGACTCTGAACAGCCTACATCCCCACATTTCTAAGTCAGGTTACAAGATAAAAGTAGAATGAAACATACAGTAATTGTGTATTTTACAATCAAACATAAAGACACGATAAAATTGTCTGTTCACATCAGCAGTGTCTTAGAGGTGGTGCCTTCCTTGGTAACAGAAGCCCATTTCTTTATTTGTGAGGTTTCTACCCCACTTTTCCTTCAGGAGGTCAAGGCAGCACACGCAGAGTGCCTTCCTCCTATTTTTCCACGCCACAACAACCCTGTGAAGTATGTTGGGCTGAGAAAAAGAGTGACTGGCCCAAAATTGCTCAAGGAGCTAAAATGTTGGGTTCTGATAAGAGGCTACGTCATAGACTGAACACCCATTGCCATGTTTGCGTGACATGCAACACCAAAACTTAAATAATTTCATAATATAGTTTGGCTCGCGTGGCCTGGCAAGGGAGTAGCTTGCTTTCCATAACATAGTGAATCACAGACTACGAAACCTCACTGAAGGCTAGTCTGATGTGTTATGCAAACCCAGCTGCTGGCGTTGTTTGAACCTGTTTTATTGAATACACCATGATACAAATCACAGTCAGGCTCAACATGCTAGGTTTATGCCTTTTCATAAAATATTTGAGTCGGAAAAGCTCTGACATCTTCCCATTGTTTCATGTGACCAAAACCCTTGAAATGGTTTGAATATTTGTTCCACAAAATGCAGCCAGCTTGAAATGTTTGGGTGGATGGTCCTGGATGGATTTTCAGATTCAAAACAAAACATGTGTTTTGTTTCATGCGTTCCCCTAAGAAGGAACCCAGCTGTACCTCTTCCTTTCTAATTTATGTGAAGATTGTGCTTTGTAATAATGTTGTTACTCTAAACCAATTAACAAAAAAAAGTTTAAACACAAAAAACAGCATTAGTGCAATAACACAGCATCCATATTCCTCTAGTAATACTGATAGTTGTTATATTAATATAATAATTTAAAAAATTTAAAAGACTTAAAGAAGTCCATTATAAACAGAACAAAAATTTGACCACAGCGTAAACCCTGCATTAATGTTTCAGCAACAGCAGCATGAAGAAATTTCAGCCAAGAAACTCCGACTAACCAAGCCGAGCAAATCTGCCGCGCTTCACGTAGACCTTTGCAAGGCCACTTCACCGGCAGATGCATTACAGTACCTGCTCCAGTTCGCTAGGAAACCAGTGGAAGCTGAAAGTGTGGAAGGAGTTGTGCGAATCTTGCTGGAACATTATTACAAGGTAAGGTAAACAATCTGAAATCTTTGGCAGCTTTAAGTGGACTCATTCTCCAGGATTCAGTCAAACTTCCCAACCAAAACTCAGTCATAAATTCCCAATCTTCTGACATGTCATAGCTTAGTTCGACTCCTTGGCTGAACTGGCGGGTAGACACATGACCGTGTCAACTCACAGATGTGGCTTTGCTAGATTACAGTCCTTATTGTAGACTGGAATGAAATAGCACAAAACATTGATTGCCCACTGCTAGTGAAAAGTGGTAAATAACTTTGATACCCTTGGGGGTTTGAACACGAGGGTTCTTCCTCCTGTCCTTCCAGATTCACCAAGACCTAGCACGCTGCTTGGTGGCCTCAGTCAAGCAATTGTATGTTTGGATAACAGCCATCTTTGGCCTGGATGGCAGCATCTGTAGAGTCTCTCTCTGTGATCCCATTTGGAAGATGGCAGGCAGGGAATCATGATTTCAGGCCTGTGTTTTGACGATTTTGACTGCCCCCTGTGGATGCTGCTGGTTTCCAGCTCAACTCATAGTTATCAGTCTTTGCCCGCCCTACCTAAAAATTCTGGGAATTTAATGTGGTTTCTTCTACACTCTTGGTGTGTTACTAACCCTTTCTCCCAAAAACTCAAAGCGAATACTAAACTCATGGTAGCTATGATCTCACTGGCTTCAGAGTCTGTTTTTCTGGATGTTTCTCCTACTTTTCTTCAGGATTGCTTCTCATAGCTCAGGAACCTAAGCTCAACAAACACATTTGAAATTCTGAGATTGTATGTGTCTGCTCTCATTCAGAGGCTGCTTCCCCTCTAGCTTCACGTCATGCTTTAGCATACGGATTACTTTTATCTTTTTCTTGGTGGGCAAGTGGGCACTGGAGGTGAACAAAGCACATCAAATTAAACCTACAGTACAGTGTTTTAAATTTAAAGGTGACGTTTCAAGTTTGGAACAGCTGCTTTGGCACAAAGCGAATTGGTTCAAAGTGTCTTGAATTTGTTGAGTGCAGAGGAACATTTTGAGCAAACGGGGGTTTTAAATTGAAATCTTGCACATTCTTAGCAGGAACATTTCTATACTGAGAACTCAGCTGGAGCTGCTCAGCATGTTTATTTTCTAAACCTCTCTGGCATTCAGAAACATTATTGTCAATGCAAATAATAAAGCAGATGCTTTGCTTTCTGGCACACTGGTTTCCCATTTATTTATTAACTAAAAGACTATTTTAAGAAAATTAAAAAGCCAAGTTGGGTAAGACAGGAAGTCAGTTATTTCTATTTAAGTTGATTCTGGTGGAAAAGGTCCCTCCACATTCAGTTAATAAACAGAACAGCCTGTGGATTAGACTAAGGATACATCAAATCCAGCACTTTGTTTCAAGGATGTGAGGGTAATAAGCTCTCCTTTGCTGCTACCCTGCAGTTGGAGTCTTTGGGATATTGCTTCCGCTGAATAAGGACATTTCTCACAGCTCTTAAAGCATATTGATACGTGCACTCTCGCTATTTTGTTTAGCACAGATTGGGCTGTTCATACACTGGTGCAAACAACCAAGAAGACAAAAGCTGCATCTGGATTTATTCCTATGGTGAAGCATGTGTGAGAGAAGGCCATAGGTTCATTTGTCTCATGGGCAGGCCATAGGTTGATCAGATTTGCATGCCTCAGGCAGGGCCATCTTAATGGGGAACAAAGGGAAATGAGATAATGATGCTGGACCAGAGAGAAAAAAGAGAGACAGCCCTTTAAAGATGCTGGACTATCTTCACCTGTAATGGTGCACAGGAAAAGCTCTTGCAGATTTGTGGGAAGATGATGTTTTGATATCCTTCTCTCATCACCCAGGAAAACGATCCTTCTGTGAGACTAAAAATTGCTTCCTTGCTGGGCTTGCTGTCAAAGACTCCTGGGTTTTCTCCTGATTGCATTCTGGACGATGCCATTAACACGCTCCAAAATGAAAGTAAGTGATCTTTTCCCAACTAACAAATATATGGAATTGTTGCAGACTATTTGAAGCATGTGTTACATTCCCACTTGCTGGGTTCCCATCCTACTAAGCTTTAATGTAGCTTGACTGCTCTTTGCTTTGTGTGATGGGTTAGCCCCATGGGGGAATCAGGCCACTGTGGATTGTTCAAAACAGTCACTACAGGTAGTCCTCGCTTAATGACTGTTCATTTAATGATAGTTCAAAATTACTACGGCCTCGGAAAAAGTGCTTTACTTGCACATACGACCATCACAAACAATTGCATCCTCCCCACAGTCAGGTGATCACGATTTGCAACCTTTTTTACAATGGTCATTAAGCGAATCACCGTGGTCATTAAGCAAATCACATGGTCATTAAGTGAATTCTGGCAAAAAAGTCCATTGGGGAAGCTGGATTCACTTAATGACCACATGATTCACTTAACAACCACAGTGGTTCACTTAACCATCGTAAAAATGGTCATAAAATCAGGTTTGATCACGTGGTGACTCGCTTAATGAGCAATTTTCGAGTCCCTATTGTGGTCATTAAGCAAGGACTCCCTATGTTTAAAAAATCCTGGCATGGTGCATTGTATGAACACCAGCCAATGTGGTTTGTCAACGGTGGTTTATAGTGTAGCATGATGGACCTGACCATACTAGCTTGTTCAACAAATCACAATTAAAACAAACAATAGCTTTTCATAGTGTATCACATCATTGGTCTGTCTAGCCCAGTGTTGATTACTGGAGATGGAGTTCTGGAACTCAGCAATGTGTGGTGTTGCCCAGGTCAAGGGCCCCACTTAAACTTTCAATGGTATGCTGAGGGCCATGCTTTTAAAAGTATTAGGTAGGACCATGAGAAATGTGGTTTCATATTATTTATGTTAATTTAAACAAAGTATAGGTCATATAACTTTAGAAACGAGAGTGGGCAGATTTATGGAGGTTCATATTCTCAATAACTGCTAATATCCATGACTGTTTCTTACCTCCTGCCTCCTAGACAGCAGGCCTGAACTACTAGGTGGTGGGAAGTGATGGGGAAGGGGCCATCACCCCCTGGACCAGGCTTGGAAGTTCCCCAAGCACACCCAGATGGCCACTGGACAATTCAGAAGCCTGGATTAGGTGGATTGAGAGCCACGTCCATTGTCACAGCTTTTCCTGTGTCCTTGTTATTGTAGTCCAGTCCTCCCTCTCCCTCCCTCCTTCCCTCCCTCTCCTTTTCTGTCACACTGAAAATTAACGTTTCATAAGGCCTTGAAGATTTGGTTTCTTTAACAGAGCCTGGGCCCCTGGGTATACAGCTGAGACCCTATCATGGTTCTGTTAATTGCTGTGTGGGTTGGTCTTTTATCTTGGTGCAGTATGTTATTTATTGGTTTGTTATAATGTTTTATCATGTTTTTAATTGTTGTTAGCTGCCCAGAGTCATGTGTTTGAGATGGGTGGCCATATAAAATGAATGAATCAATCAATCAATCAGTGGAGAGCCAGTTTGGTCTAGTGGCGAAGGCACCAGGCTAGAAAGCAGGAGACGGTGAGTTCTAGTCCTGCCCTAGGCATGAAAGCCAGCTGGGTGGCTTTGGGCCTGTCCCTCTCTCTCAGCCCAACTCACCTCATGGGGTTGTTGTTGTGGGGAAAATAGGAAGAGGAAGGAGTATTAGGTATGTTCACCGCCTTGAGTTATTTATAAAAATAATAAAGGTGGGATAAAAAAATCTAAAAAAAAATCAATATTTGGCAATGAATTTTTGAGGTCCCCGGGTGCTGCACCCAAAGCTGTCAAGAACGGGTGGTTACGTACCCTTGGTTTAATTGAATGTAATGGAAATCCTTGTTAATATGCTGAAGGAAAGGAGATGCTGTTTTTGTATATGAGATCATGAGACTGTGCTGTGTGTATTTTTTTTAACTCCTTGCCAAATCATTGGAAAAGCCTTTCTGCACAGTACAGATTTTCTTCCCTCTCTGTGTTACACTGTCATATGATTAATTTCAGATGAGTCTAATTTTACTTCTAGGTATAAGTTTTCAAGTAAGCCAAATTCCACTAGAACGCAGAGAAAAATGGCACCATTCCACAGTTCGTACAGTGGGAGTGATTTGACTGTCATCCTTCGGTAGCTATTGTTTCTTCCACAGCCTGCTTACTTTAAGCTCAGCATACATGGGCAGTATTTCTTAGAAAGAGAAGTCTGACTAGGAGGCATTTAGGGACACTTCTGCTGTCCCCAGAGAGATTCTGCTGCCCCACTTCTTCGTTACACAGAGACTTTTATTCGCCCCAACATTTTGGGGGTTTAGGGAAGCGATCAAAACCCAGTTATTTCAGCAGGCCTTTTTGAGGGGGTGATGAATTAAGAGAGCTTCTGCCTGTGTGGGAGTGTGTGACTGAATGGGTTTTATGGGTCCTCAAAAGAGAGATATTTTGCTATTATTGTGCTAAAACTAGGGATATAATGTTTGTTGTTTATCTGGTTCTGTTTCTTAATTGTTTCAACTCTGTCATGCTTGGTCAGATGGTAAGCTGCAAAGAGTCAGTGATTGGAGTGGCATGTTGATTGATTATGTGCCGTCAAGTTGTTTTTGGCTCCTAGTGACCACATAGATAGCTTTTCTTCATGACGATCTGTCCCCAGCCCAGTTTTTCAAGTCTCCCAATGGTGTTCATGTTGCCACTGTAACGGAGTCCCTCCACCTTGCTGCTGGTCGTCCCCTTCTTTTTCCTTCTACCTTTCCCAGCATTAGAGCCTTCTCTGGAGACTAACGTGTCTGAAGTAGGATAATTTGAGCTGCAGAAGTGACATGTAAGCCTTGTAAAATAAACACATAAGATTCTACTGACTGAATAGTGACATATCAGGACCTTATTCTTTACTTAGTGACTCTTTATATTTTATTTTTGTGTTTTATGTAAGACTCCCCAAATTGTGAGTTCTAGTCCTGCGTTGGACACAAAGCCAGCTGGGTGATCTTGGGCCAGTCACTCTCTCAGCCCTAGGAGGAAGGCAATGGCAAACCACTTCAGAAAAGCCTTGCCAAGAAAACTGCAGGGGCTAGTTCAAGCAGTCTCTAGGAGTCAAAAACTGACTTGAAGGCACTATATATATACAGTGGGGCAAAAAAGTATTTAGTCAGCCACCAATTGTGCAAGTTCTCCCACTTAAAAAGATGAG